AATGTGGTGGCTCAGCTGGACACAGAACCAAACGCAGGCTGCAGCACCTGGAGAAAGATGATGGTCTGTACTTTAGGAAAAATGAAAGGCAAATTAAAGCGCATTGCATATCCTTCTCTTGATCAAACGAGTGACCTCACCATGCCCACAGGCTTTAGCTACAAAATGCCCCCATCAGTGCAGTGCTAGCGGTGTAAGCAAATTGTCAGCACTTCTTTCACCCTGGTATTTAGACCTTCTGTAAGCAGCATTAGATGACATGAACAGAAGAATGCCAGAGTCCTGTCTACACTAGCACCTCCACCATTGATACACAGGCACTAGAGCAATTTCAGACAGTCCTCAGCACAGACACAGCTGTAATGGGCCAGTCACTATCCTCCAGTGGAGGAGGTAGGAGTCTTCTAAGCCTAAGGCACGCTGTGGTCAGGGTATCTGCCACTGAATCTCCAACAAAAAGCCATGTGGAACTGAGGCAGTGGCTGTTATTTAAAGAGAATCACAGGAACACAAGAGACTTCAACAAGGCCTCACACCCTAACACCAGGGTAGACAAAATGGTAGATCTGGTTGGTTGCCGGACTCCATTTCCCAGCAGCCCCTGCCAACATTGCTGCAGCCGGTTTCTAGGGAGACCCCAGCAGCAGCACAGGGCTGGGGTTTCCATGGAGACTGGCCCCAGCAGCACTGGCTGGGCAGGGAGCTGCTCCACGGCCGGGATCCCGCAGTGGTGACAGTGTAGTCCGGAGCTGGGGTAGAGCTGAAATCCACTGCCTACACACCCTTGCCCAAGGCATGTGGGCAGTGGATCACAGCGCTGCCCCGGCTCTGAACCATGCTGTCACTACTGCAAGATCCCAGCCCCGGAGCAGCTTGCCGCCCAGCTGTGCACCCTGCCAGCACTGCTGGGGCCGGTCTCCATGGAAACCCAGGCCCTGCGCTGTCGCGGCCCCACTGTTGCTGGGGTCTCCACAGAAATTGGCAGCAGTGACGCAGGCAGGGGCTGCTGGGAAACAGAGTCTGCCACGGGCCCGATCCAGCCCACAGGACAGACTTTGCCCGCCCCTGCCCTAACATAACACACAGAACAGCTGTTCCAGTCAGAAGAGTTGAGGTGATAGGTCAGATTCCCTTCCCTGCTCAGCTACTGCAGCTTATCATTAAAGCAAGACTTGCACATGCCAAGATCACTGTAAGTGGCATGTGACTGGTACAGCTCCATCACTCCCCTCCCCTTACTTACCTCTGTTTTTGTCTTCTGCCAGCAATCTGTTCAGCACTCAACTCTGGGGAATTGGGGCAGTTTTGCCCCATTAGCTGAAGAGGATCTGGGCTCCAGGGAGGTTCCTTACTCTCCTGAGCTGCATTTACTGCAGTGTCTTAATTTCTTGCTTTGACTTTTCTAAGTCAAGGTTCTCAAGGAGCACATTTCATTCAGGGCCTTACAAGGCCTTTTTCAAATCCAACATCCAGCAACTGAGCCAACCCCAGCACTTCCCGACATGTTGATATTCAAAGAGAGTCTCAAAAGCAGCTAAAATGAACCAGTTTTATTAATGTTTTCAGGGGCTGAACCTAGGCATCTTGCCCAAACTTACGATAAACGAAGATTTAATCTTTTATACTCGTTGACTGCTATTTCTTCCCCTCCCACACTCTACCCACTCTTCCACACAAGCTATCAACAAACATCTGGGACTGTGTAATACAGAAGGGCTTGCATTTCTCTAATAATACTATACAGTAACACGTCACAGCACAAACTGATAATACGCTACTGCGGCGCATTATTAGGTTACTGTACAGTAGTGTCACTAAAAAGGCATGTGCCAGCACTGCTGCACAGTAACACCGGTTACTGCGTGTTAATTTAATACTTGATTATACAAGTACCAAATTTAATGTGCAGTAACTATAGCACATTAATGGACGTGTAGACATGCCCAGCCCTTTTGACTGAGTTACTTCATCCTTGTCTGCAGACACTGTTCCCCTTCCCAAGTGTTTGTGAGCTCTGGCTCAGGTGTTTTTTCTGGTGACAGGAGACTCCTTGTCGACAGAGGCTTTCACCCTCAGCATAGAATAGACCAGTTTTTAGCCCTGACTTCTCAGAGCCCTTTTAAGAACTATTTGGGCATGAGTTTTGGAGCTGGTTTTTGGCTTTCCTGACCAGAAAGTACGGTTTTATACCTTTACATGGATGGTAAAATCTAAGGTTTGGCAGCGGTGAGCAGGCTGCTGCCAACAGCTCCTTGGGCTGCTTTAAGACACTATGCTCTGCAGCAGCACAGGCTTTTCAGGATATAATCCATATACAGAGCCCAGCTCGTGACAGGTAACAAACATAACCTTACTTATCTACATACTTCTTTGGAACTGAAGACAGGAAGTGATTCATTTAGGGACCTGGTTACCAAAAGAAAGCAAGTTAGACACAAACAGTCATATTAAGGGATAATCACCTTTATGCATATCATTTCCTGGCACATTATTGTCTGAAATGAGTAGGCAAGATTGTGTTTCTGCCTAAGAAAGCTCAGTGCTGAGCTCAATTTGGAAAGGAACTAAATTGGCTCCTTGACCTCATGTGGTAGTTCATCTCAGGGGCTTCTAATCACAAAACATAGAACTAGGTAAGATTCAAGTTCCCAGAAATTTGATCTTATCCACAGGTGACAAGGCCAGGGTCTCACAAAGCATTCAAACAAAACTCCTCGAAGTAGCTCAGCATCTGAAAAGTGACTGTTAACCTTTTACCTGCATGTTGATAAGCCAAATACGGATGTTGTAAACACAACAGTGAATCAAAAGTGCTGGATTTCCAGAGTGAAGTCAGACTTCCAAGGGAAATTCATGGCTAGCTCCAGGCTCAGAGACAGTGCTAGTTTTTTTGTATCCCTGGAATCGTGCTGTGGTCTCTGAACAGCGTGTTCTGTACAAACACTGCAAGTTAAAGCATCAACTCAAATGAAAACAAGCTACTGGAATACTAATCAGACTGAACTAGGAGCTGGCTCACAAGGTATGTGCAGGCCACAGCTGCCTAGCTGTTCTCAACATTTCTTTGCAGTCTGAGTTTGGCAGAGAAATAAGCCCCAGAAGAGCTCATGGAAAGTTTGATTTGAACTCATTAACTTACTTCAGAGTAGCTTAACAGAACACTTCTATGGTTATCTGTCTGCCTTTGGGTATGAACCTGACAACTTTCATCAGCTGAGGTCAGTCCTGACTGGCCTATGAACCAAAAGACCTCAATCTGCTCTACCTGACTTTTGAGAAGAGACAGGGGCTTCTGCCATTTATGGATCCAAATTTAACCCAGGTACCCTCTTAAGTGCATGCACCCAACAAGCTTGTGGGCAAAGTTCCCATGGCATTTCTGAGGGTTTGGGGCCAAGAGTAAGGTCAAACTCGAATGCAGTCTCTATTCCCTCTGCAGCATCAGGGTGAAACACTGCCCTCACATCATGCAACAGGCCTTGTTGCAGCACCGGACAGAGAGCTAGCAGGGCTTTGTCTTTGCTACTGTAAATTCCATGCCCAGCAGGTTAAACACAGCACAGTCTAAGCTCTTCTGCCCATCAATTGATTTCAGTTTTTGAACAGGGGGGCTGCAAATGGTGTGGACATCATCACATATAACACAACACATATTTCTCCAGTTAAAGGGAAATTATGTTTTATTTATGTGCTTGGGGGCTAGTACTATATTATTCAGTTTAAGATCAAAGCAAAAACAAATATAACTCTTGGAATGTGCACTGATTTCCTAGGTTATTTATAAACTTTAAAAAAGCACAACAAACTAGACAAAAAATAGCTGAAATAGTCAAAAGATATAGTCTCATTAGTCCTGTAATCATTATAGTTAAATATATATCTCTTATTCAGTTTCATCAAACAAAATGTAGCTGTCTTGAGTTTCTTGACCGTGCCTCCAGTAGTTCATTGTCAGTCATTCTACACCTGAGTTAATATTATCACACCTGAGTTAAGGTTTTTAGCAATCTTCAAGACTGTGAAATAGAAGAGAGACATTACCAGGGATGGCTAACAGAGAGCAACATTGCAGAAGAAAGGATAGTTTGAGCCGTGGAGCATGAAGATTATTAAAAAAGAGAGACAGGGTTGTTAACCGGGAGTGAAGAAAGATTATCAAGAATAAGGGAGATGATAATGAACCATAAAGTCAATTGACCCCATCAGCATTGTCTAAATAGCAATGCTGCTGCCTCTCCCAGGCATCTGGCTTTAAAGTTTAGGTGGAGCAGGAATGCAAAGGAGGGTACAACTGTAGCCTGCTTGGATCTTCCCCTGCTTCTGCCATATGGTGCACACAGGTAAGCTGGATGATTCAGGAAGGCTGGATGACTATAGCGCCACTTGAACCACCTGGGCAGGCAGGGCCATGGATGAGAAGTCCCAGCAGCAGGGTGGCTTTATTGTGAATTGATGAGGTGGGGGGCTCCACAAGAGATCCAAATAGGCTGGCCCAAAAATAGCCGAAGTGATCAAGCGTCATCCAAGGAGCATGTCAGCACAAGGCCACAGCCTGACTGGAGCACAGATGGTAGTAGCCAAAAGGGGGTTTCTGTAGAAAGCAGCACAGCCATTTCCAATGCTTTTTTCATGACTCGTAAAGGAGAGGGCTGAACAGGAACAGCCTAAGGCCTCTTTTTTCTTGGTTGCGAAGGCAGAAGGAGCAACAACAGCCTGACACACAAGGGCACTGGGCACTGTTCAGAGACAGACATCTTCTGTCTGGCCACTCCTGACAGGGATCAAGGTTACAAAAAGGTTGCACCTATGTGAATTGACACCAGTTATTATCCAGGGGCTCTACTGGGGGAGTTTCCAAAACAGAAATTATTAGGGATTTTTTTTTCCTTCAGGCTACCATTGAATTCCATTCAGATTAAATGAGCTGAATGGGCCGCTGAAAAGAATGCACCAAGGACTCTTTGAAGACCTCTTGCTTCACAGCTGTCTGTTCTCCACAGGGATTCACACACATTTGGCAATGCAAATGAAGTGATGGAGGTAGAGGCTACATACAGTGACTTCATTTCCTGTGATCGTGCTGGTCGAAGGAACGCTGTCCACGACATCCAGGGAGATGCGAGCACTATCAGCATGCGCAAGCTGGCAGGCAACATAAGTGAGCTCTCAATTGAAGGATCAGGTGAGTGAACAGTGGAAGCAAATTGCCATGGATGGCAAGGAAATGTGGCTGCTATAGAGTAATTTAAGAAGACAGATTATTGAACTTCACCCACGTTTCTGCATATTTGTGAGTCAGAGATGACCTGAAGAAGGACCAAGCACTTTCACAAGGAATTGTTTATTTTTCCTTAGTGCCAGTGGCTTATTTAAAGGGCATATTGGTCCAATCTTAGATTCCCAGTTGACAGGAACTCCTTGTTATGTGCGTGGTGTCTGTTTACACTCTAAATCATAAAGGGGGGACACTGCACACCTCAGTCTGACTCCTTGTGGAAATTCATCTGCAGAAGGTTTAAGTCCAGGTGTTTATAACAAAGTACAAGGAATTGTTTCAAGGCACATTAAACCTCCATTGGGTTCACAGAAATCAGAGCTTTGGGAAACAAACCAACCACGATTGGCTAATATAAAAGAAACATTTAGTTTTCCTTTTTTAGATAAGTTTCTCCTGTAATGCCTTCTTTACAACCACCACACTAATTTAACACATGCTGTCCTGCCACCAATACTAATTTAAGAGGATAAAAATCAAAGTGACTCAATGCAAAGTTAAACTGGCTGGTCTGTTTTAGTTATCCAAGTAAAATTATTAATTATCTCCAGATGTGACCGTAAATTAGTTTTTCATATTTTTTCCTGTAAACCCTGAGTCTTATTTGTAACAAGAATAGAAAAAGGTTTTGAAAAACATTTTGTGTCCTGATAATGCCTCTTAAAATGTGCTGATAGCAGATTCTAATATGAGCCAAATTCAGATAGCAGAGAGCTCTGCGGCTAGCTGGCAGGACATTCAAAGTACATTCAGGAGCACTCACATGCTGTGCCTGCAGGTCAAACAAGGAAACAAGGTCCTCACTGGGAAAAGGCTCATTGCTACAGGGCTGCTCTGTAGCACCCCGCTCTGACCTCACTCTCCCCGAGCCCCCCCTTACTGTCCCAGCCTTCTTCCCAACACCATCAGTTTCCCTTTCTGGAATGATGCTTTACACTTTATGCCTACACCAGCATGTTCATTAGCAGAGCGCTCGCTGCTCTTGGGTCCAGGAGTTGGCCACAGTAAATTCTTGGATAGTTTTGCCACTGACCTCAGTGACATCAGGAATGGACATGGATGTGTGTTGTGTGTGTACACTGCACAGTGGGCTATACCAGCACAATGGCAGCAGGGTGATAGTGGTTGGAGCTGGAGGGGCGGGGGGGAGGGTTAACCTGCAGCTTAACCAGTGACTTCTCTTTTTGATGATCCTTCTCACCCCAAAGTCTTATGGGGATAAATTGTAACAGGCTTGCAATTTAGGTTCACAAAATTGTGATGCTAACTATTTGGACCAGTATGCACTCTATTCCTGAAAAGGCCTTAGGGAGCCATCTGTTTTGTTGGATCTCATGGTAGCAAATCATGCACATTCCAGTTAGTTAAATCTCCATTCTGCAGAAAGCAAGTGCAGTGAGACCACAGCCTATGCATGGAGCCGCTGTTATTCTGCACAGCTCAAGAGCCTACGGCAGTGCTGGAGCAGTTCAAAATTGCTGGGCCAAGTCTCCCCTTAAAAGGAACCAGGAGGCTTATGAGTTAACAGCCTTAATCCTCTTGGGTACCTTCTCACGTGGGTTTTTGAGGCACTGACTGCAGCAGCCTCCTACCTAGCCAAGCCACCTTGTGTCCTTTTTTGAGTTGCAACAGTTAATCAAACTTGCTTCTAAAACTTTCTCATTTTACAGAAAACCAGGCAGGTGCCACTTCCTCTGAGAAGGAACCAGGAACGAGACCAGAGGGGCGGGATGGCAGCACTTCCTCATGAGAGCAATGTTTATGAGGGTGGGGAAGGATAGGAGGAAAAATGAACTGGAGACACCACACAGGAATAGTCCATCAATCTTTTGACAAGTGAGAATGACACCAGAAGAATGAGCTCTCCCTTACATGTCTCTGCTGTGACCACTGTTTTCACAGACATCTCCAGGGTGCTCTGCAATGGGCTAGTACCTCCAAAAGAACTCTGCTCCTGTCCACAACAGTTTAGACAAACACTGCAGTGTTTGTAGTGACATGAGCCACTCTCAAGATGCCTTAGCAGCAAGTTTCCTCTATAGGGAAACAAGATTTCAGTAATAATATACACACCAGACTTTACTAAGGTACATATTTCTTACTCTGTAAATTTAGACTTATTTATTCTCTGTTACCATAAATTAGACGTTTAGGTGCTTTCCACACTCTACCTTTTTTCTGCATCTATTTAGATTTGAATTGGCGGCTGGGCTGCCTTTGCAGTCGCCCCAAGTCATGGCAATCAGCTGGGAGTATTGGCAATTCCTGTTCCATTCACACTGAACACTGTTAACCTGTGCTTCTGCCATGTGGCACTCAGAAAAGGACCAAAGCTCACACGTGTGGACAAACCCCATTCACAAACTGCAGCACCAAACCTCAAACCTTTTTGGCTGGATTTTACTATTTTAAGATACCGTTAATAGAAGAGGCTTGTTTTGTTTTTGACCATTGACAAAGTTCTGACTAAATTCTCAAGTTCTATACAGCTCAGAGGTATTTATTTCTGGAAAAGTTTCACACATTCTTTCTTAGGAGACATGCTTTTGTGTTAAAACTTGTTTGATAAACTCTATAAGCTTGTTGTAATAAATAACACATGGCTCTTAGCTAACCAAGTTGAGTGGGGATTTTGTGTTATTGTCTCTTCTTCACAACACATGGAATTACATCATGTCTATGCTGAGAACACAGGGAAGGGATCTATATTAACAGATGTATCGAGCATGATGCACTCCCAGATACTGAACACCTTGCAGGTGGGAGCAGATTCCATAAAATATGCAATTCCATTGGTCGGACACTAATCTCCATACATTTGCTCTAGAACAGCTCCTCTGCAAGTAGTTACTTATTTTCTCAAGGGCTTTCATTTAAAGCTTGCAGCACTGCTCTTTCAGGTACAACCACATAAGCGAAGCACGATCAAGTTGGTTCAGGAGTGGCCAGAGTGCCAGAGGAACCAGAGGAAGATGGGTGTGCAGAGAGTGCTAAGCACAAAACCAGAGTCCTGTATGCACCTTGAAGGAAAGAGCAATTCAGCTCAAACTGCCCAAGCAGACTAAAGCCCAGCTGGGATCTGATGCTGGATTTCCCTCCTATGTCTCCCAAAGGCTACTGGGCCCCAGACCACCTCAAGTAAAGGCATAAGGAGTTCGTATCAGCATCCCAGTGATTCCCCTTCATCTTTCCATCCAGCTTTAATCACTGGGCCACACTAATCCACCATGTCATATCCACCACTCCCTGCAGGACTTAGTACAAGCAATAAGATGGCAGGAAAGACTGCATCCAGAGGAAGGTAAAATAGGAGAGAGAAAAAAATCCCCCATAGTGTCCTAGGGCTAGAAGGACTTCTTGACAAATTACAAAAGAACTTAATGTAACAAGTCCAAATTCTATCAAGCAAAACAAAGCCATAAATAAGACTTGAACTGTCAGAGTTCAAGAATTTTCCATAGGCCCCAAGAGATGAGCCAGCTGCACAGCCACAGGGAAGAGGAAGGTGGCCCAGAACCCACAGTAAGCAAAGATTTGGCAGCAAGATAAAAGCTGCACCTGCTTTTTGACACCCCAACAACAGACTGGCCAGGTCAATGAGTTCCTGCTGCAGCCTGCTGCCACTGGTCTCAAAGAGCCTGGTTTCAATCCTACTGGAACCAGTGACAAAAAGGCAGCGTTTTCAGGGTCTCTGGGGCAGGGGGGAGCAGGGAGGAGCGGTGGTAAAGATGAATCCGAAATACCAACATTTTTTTCTCAACCTCCTGCAGAGGAAGAATTCTCCATACTCACAAAGGAACAGCCAGGGAAAGTACAAATGCCCACGCAACTCCAGCACTGTAAGGAAAAAGCTAATTTTAGGTCTCCCAGCTCAGCATGTCTGTTCAAGGGTTATATTTAGTCAGACTGCTTTGCAAGCTTTTTCCCCCCTTGCATTCAAGAGCAAGCAACAGGCATCATGTTTCCCCTGTAAAGCCAGGTCAGCAGCTATCATCAACCGTGCTGAAAGAATGAGCGCATCTTATTATTCAGTAATAGCCCAGCTTGTAGAGGTACTGGGTACACAGACCTCCCAGGGACTGCAGTGGGCACCCTGAGTGCCAGAGCCACTTCTGTAACTTGGCCTTTCTGAAATCCTGCCACAGAGTGGCAGGAGAGCTTTACACAAGGGTGACCTCACAAGCAGGCTAGCACTAAGATCTCTCCGGCCACACGGGAGAGTTCCAAAAACATTTTTACACCAGAACACTAAACTCTGCAGAGGTTGGAAGGAAAGAACCAATGTTGTTTTGGGATTCCTGCCAGAAAAAGAAATCACAGCCCATTGCCCACTAATAACACTGCCATTGCTGGTAGTGCCATGTGCCCTTCTTTGATCGTTGTGGGGGAAATGATGTGTGAAATTGGAACAATTTGTATTAACAGCTGCAAGAAAGTTGTGGCCTGCACAAGGCACACACATGCTTTGTATCACAAGCCTCCAACATCACTTTAAATACCAAGATACTTTACCTGGCTTCAAGGGATTGCTTCTGGGAGGAAAGAGGCCCCCCAAACGTAGTGAGAGAAACCTGCATGTCTACATAGGGCCACAGCTTCTAATTCCTGCTGCATCTATTCTATCATGGGATGACAAGTGCAGACTTCAACAACACCTTTTCCAAACTACACTTATGTTAAGTGGGAAGAGCAGGTTGATCCCATCATCCTCTTTTTTCCCCACATCTGGTTTTCAGGCTCTCTTCAAGCAGCAAGAGCCTGATGAGAAAAGCTGGGCTGTGTTAGGAGATGGCTGACAGTGAGGAAGGCAACTGTGCTGACTCCACTGCTTTTGTGACAGTCTGTGCAGACTGGAAGAAATGCAGGAGAGAAGAAAGTTCTAAAATTGTCCTTAGGACAACAATGAGACCTTGCAACATTTGACACTTTTTCTAGCTCCTGCTGTCATCACAGCGATTGAGGTTGCAAGGTGGGTGGATTTTTTTGTTTTATTTTTAATATCTTGGCAAAATGCTGGCAGGTACCTTTTAAAAATGCATTTGGGATTCAAAGACCATTATCCTGACAATTCTAAGGCGGGTCACGTAAAGCTACAGTACAGAGAATTTCCTTATCTCGTCAAATAGAACTCTGAAACACTTTTAATACAAACTTGTTACTTTATTAAACCAGACTTGCACGTTGCTCTGGGTCTCCAGGAGGTGAACTGTTGTTCTTCAAAAGTGAATTTTTGAGATATTACAAAAAAATGAGAGAAAGGGAAACTGGTTCAAACAATGTCACCATTCTTAAAACTGATGCTGTATTTGCTTTATAAAAATAACAAAATCATTCATTTTCATACATGTGTGTATATATGCGTATGTGTATATATGTGTATATATATATATATATATATACACACACACTTGTGTATATATATGCACAGTGTATTTATAAGAAGAACATTTTATAACTCAAGTGAAATAAGTATTATAAGCCTAGAAAAGAATGGAGGAATCCCATTCCCTGGCTTGATGTCTGAGACTGACTGCTCCAATTTCAGTCATCTTTCAATATCCACAGTAATGATAAATGTAGCCCTTTATCTAAGGCAGTTTTGGTGTTGGTAGCTTTGTCGTCAAGGTTTCTGCAGTCCCTTGCCTTATTGAAGCACTCAGCACACACATACCTTTCTTAACTCTTTAGACAAACTCTTAGAAGAGAACCTACTGTAAACCAAAGATACAATCATTTTGCTGCAAAGAGAGTAGAAGTGTCATAATGCACCAGGTTGCCTTAAGAATTCTGGTTAACATTTTCTTTGAAAATTCTCAGAACATACTAAAAATATGACTTCCAGCAAGAACTCTGCTAATGGCACAAGTAGTTTAGAAAATATTTGGGTCATTGTAATAGATATTGGACCCTATCTTATTAATCTGTTTATTTAGTTCATTCATTTATTAATAGTGCTTTGAGATTATCTTAGGTCAGAAAGAGAGCTGGACAAATGAAGGTTACCATATTTTTAAGATCCTTGCAAATAGAATAAAAACAAAATGAAGCTCTCAGGAGTTCCCCTATATGCAGAATACCGGAGTGGGGAATCTCAAAAAAGAATTTGGCCTGAAGTTGTAAAAACTGCTTTAAATTTATATGTGGACAGGCAAAAAAAAAAACCCTCAACAGGTTTCTGGGCCTTCCCAACGCACAGTGCAGAGTCCTGTAGCCAATGAGATACATGCTCTTTCATTCAGTGACATTCTAGAAATTTAAGGCCCTCTTTTACAGATGTTTTTAAACCAAAAAGTGCAAAATAAATTGTTAAATTAAAAAAAAATACTACATTGCTGGAAGAAGACGACCTCAGTGGAACAACTGCTGGGGTTTCCATCTTGTTCACAGTCTCTGTTTACAATACAAGATTAACCATGTTTAAAAATAAAAGTGGCCAAGCAATGCTATAACTGTTTTCTTTCCATTAAAAAGAGAATAAACCTTGTAATTTGATTTTAGGTACTTATCAGCATTAACACAGGGTTCTTGTAGTAAGATTACAGACAAGAAAAAATGATTTGAATATGACCACAGTTAAACATGGCTATTTTTGTAGTGCAGACAAGGACTAAGGCAGATGAGCGAGGGCAGAGGAACTGAAGTGACATGAGTTTACATAGCAAAGGTCACCTCTCTCCCTGAAATAGTTTTACAAAAACAGGTGTCAACCACAACAAAGTTAGGCCAGAAAATTGCACCAATATGTTTGCATATCATAACTATAGAAAATTGGGTTTCAATTAATGTAGCACCAGGATATGTGGTTGCTGTAGGTAGGTATATACTGTAGGGATCATGGAAATGTTGCTTTATAATGTATGTGTAGCATTGGAAATGTTAGCATAGTAATACCAGTATTAGGAGCTGATGCTGGGACACCTCCTCCCTGCTGCTCCCCCTAGCACATAGGGGAGTCATGTCTACGTGGGGAGAGGTTACTGCACCATGCTGGCTGGCAAAGGCCAAGTCAGGATTTATTGGGGGCCATCCCGTAGGCTTCATACAGCTTATTGAGAAGTTCACTCTTTTCTCTCTCAGGCAGGAAACTGGCTTGAGCTGCATTGATGTTCTGGAAAGAGCAGGAGGGGTGGGGAGAGAGAAAGAGATGTATTTGAATGATACCAACAAGTCAGAGTGTGATGCTGTGCACACATAAGCATATGAGCATTAATGTGAGCTAGCAGGTGAGTTTGTGAAAATAAAAGGAACAGTTCTTGTTCACACTGCTACTCTGGAGCTCAGTTCTGCAGTCTCATTTTCAAAAAAGCTACACCTGCCACCACTCCTAAGTGGTCTGCAAAAAACCAAAGGCTGCCAAGATACACACTGGGTCTTCAAAAACTCTGCAGGGCTCTAAGACATGCAGTTTAGGAGCCTGATCCAAAACCTACTGAAGAAAAGGGAAAGACTTAAATGGGCTTTGGACAGGGCCCTAAGAGAGGCAGCCAGAACTGCTGCTGTTGTGACATCAAAGCTTACCCCTGGCTTGCTTTGCCATTGGTGTGGATAATGCATCTTTCTGTTGTACACTTCCTGTTGTTAAACAAAAAGAAACAATCTCTGGCAAGAGCAAGAAGGG